TTTGTGTATAGAGTGTAGAGGTAAAAAGTATAAAAAAGTGTCCATAAGAAAGCGCTAAATAAAGGTGGCGCCACTGTAGCTACAGTCCAAATTTTTAAAATATTTTATAATTTTTTATTGCACAGACTTTAACCATAATTTTTTTACAATAATTATTTAATTGCTTTCAAAATTTTTATTTTCAAAATCACTCTCAACGTATTTTACGGCGATTTATCATACCCTGTACCTACTTGAGCGCTGTTGTGGAAAGTTTTTGAACTGTTATTTAATGCTTACAGATGGACACATTTTCAACTATTCTCCTATGGGAGATTGTCCTCCTTACCTCTATACTCCATGGTCTCAGTATATATCCAGAGAGTAGGGAGTCTTGGCGGGAACTTGGCCGTACACAGATCAAGACGGATCATCGCTCCTGTTTTGTCACTTGAATAATAGTTTGAAGTAGATTTTGATTAGTAAAAGGGATGCGATTTTGTGAATTATGTGTCCGCGCGTGTGAACTTTTAGAGAAAACGACGAAACAAGTGCTTTGATGTCGATATAAACCTCAAGTTATTTTAATCGCTTGGGCGCCTTACGAACTTGAGTGGCTGTCGTCATCAACAGTCCGCTAGGCTGAGCTGTCGTGAAAATATCCCAAGGGCTTCGCAATGTAACGCATCAGCGTATTGTGAAGTAAAAGAATATAAATTGAAGATTCCGAAAGAAATGATAGGCTCGGAAGGGCTAGAACCCAGAGCCGTAAAGCCAGTTAATAAAAAATCCAGAGAGTATAGTACACTGACCTCTATATATACAAGTACTGGCTGCGTAGATAGAGAAACCTATAGACTAATTATTAGCGTGGCCTTGAGTGAGAAAGGACGATAACGTAGTTTTAGGATATACAATAATCTTCATGACTTTTAAACATATTTAGATAAAAAATTTAATTGTTCTACGAACTGAACTGAACAAGATTCATCAATCTTAAGCTCACAAAACACTTTTTTCTCACTTAAACCAACTTGTAACCTCCTTGGATCGCTACGAACTGTCAAAGTTGTTTAGCAAAGTGTAGTTTGCTAAATAAAAAAAGAGAAAGGGACAAACAATCACACCGATCTGTTGCATTTCTATGCAAGACGTATGCATACATCTATCTTTTTCGTGTGCGAATGCGAAAGAAGGCGTCAATTTGTCTATAGGTTTCTCTGTCTACGTACGCTGGACGGGCTATACTATACGAAATGACTGTGCCAATTTGAAGCGCCGCTAAAGGATGTCTTGAAAAATAAAATTAACATAATATGCCAAAGTCTGTTGTCTTATTTATATTGTCTTATTTCTTAAGTCTGTATTTTGAACTTTTAAACTAAAAAACAAAAGTATTTTGTTGTTGATTGTGTATAATGTTAGTTACATTACGTTAATTACAGAGGGTGTGAGTAATCTGTAAAACTCGTTACCATAAGGGAAGTGGTATAACATTTCACAAGTAAGTGAATTTGCAGCAAATATTAAACAAATTAAAACTATTTGATAATATAAGTACTTAAAAATTTGTTACTTATCTTAAATATCATATATACGAACATGTTCGGCTGTATATTACTATAAACAATAAAATTCAATAGGGTTGTTGAGTTCCTTGTCTGTAATACTTATCGATGTTCTTTCCTACCCATATGTGTTAACAAAAAAGTCGCCAACAACGGATGATTATCAAATTTTTATTAATTAACAGGTTTCCAATTGAACCTAGACTAAAATTATGGCTTAAAAGCATAAATATTATAAATTCGCGTCCGAAACAAAATGATCATATTTGTTCCAAACATTATACAGACGACTGTTTTATTAGACATCAGAACTGCACCACTTTGAAAAAGTGCAGTATACCGACAATATTTTCTGGTACCAGTACCAGTAAGTATAAAAATATTAGATTATTATTTCGAATGTTTTTTTTTTATTTTTTCTTTCCTCATTTTTCACCAAACTCAAGGGCCATAGCCAAGTGTCGAAAGATCGCCTGATGATGTCGAGCCACGTTGGATGTGTGTTAGTGGGCTGCGGCTAGAGGAGATTCCTCTCCCTGGACCGCTGTAGTCGAGGTGGAGTCGTAAGGGAAGAGAAGTGTTGGTATGGTGATTGGACTATTTTTCGCGACTTAGGTAAGGCTGCACCACTTGATGCTTCCAAGTGCTCGTTTTTCCCTGGCTTCATTCTCATATCGGGCTCGAGGAGTCCGTAGTGCAGCTCGTATCTCTATAAATGTTTCCTCGGTTTAAGATCTTTGTAGAATATTTAGAGACGATACCAGGAGACCCGACGGTATGGTGTTTGGTGTTTGGTTGCTTGAGAGAGGGAGAAAGTGAGATAAAGCTTTAGTGTGGGATACTACTTGCGGACACTTTGACAGCATCCCATCTCAGGGGTACCTCGTCTAAAGCAGGGGTGGCATTAGAGGCAACTTAACCAAGTAAATATCTCAGAGTATCTGGAAAATAAGTACATATTTGTGCAATTTGCTGTAGAGACTATTGGTCTGTAGGGTGCACGTGCGGTGTAGTTCCTAAAAAAACTGTATCTGCGACTGATCATCGCTGCTGATAATAAGAAGTTGTTTAGTTTGTTGTTTTCTCGCTTGAAGGCTAAGTATAGCCATTCAGTGAGGACACGTAGCCAGCATTCTTGGGACAATAGAACAGAAAGTAGGACTTTATGATAAATTCAGTTATTTTTTTTAATATTGTAATTTCATTTTCGAAAATGACGTTGTAAATAACGGATAACTATGTAATTCAAAGTTTATTTTTTTATATTATCTTGCTAGCTCGTACCCGGCGCATTGCCGCCGCAAAAGAAATAATTGTTGAAATATCGTTAAAAATTTGGAACAGTTATATAGTATAATAAGGAACGATAATATAATCATTGAATTAGAATGATATATAACTTTCTATAACTTTCAAATAAATAGTCGGTATAATACGCACGCCACCTAGTGTCAGTTAATTGTACCATGCGTATAACCCTGCGCACAAGTGCAACCAATAAGTTGACTAAGTTTGACCGCAATCTGATGCACAAAAGTACGAACAAACATACATTTTTTTATAGTAGAAAATATTTTAGTGTCTATAGACAGACCTGTAGTTGATTAGAATAGGCGTTATTATAGCAGCTGATTTGTTTTTTATAATACCAGAACTAAATAAACGGTTGACAATAAATTATTTTAGAAATTATGTTTTTATTTTTATTTTGTGTAGTTAGTTTAATCCGAAAAATTTTTAGTTAAATGGTCTAAGGGCTACAATGGCTATCCAAGTACAGAACCGGAGTTTGAACCTATCCAACCGCAGAGAGGTGTAAGACAGGGTGACGTTATATCCCGTCTCTTCACTGCTGCATTGGAAGACGTTTTCAAGCTACTGGACTGGAAAGGATACGATATTAACGTCAATGGTGTATACGTCACTCACGTTCGATTTGCCGACAGTATAGTCCTTAAGGCAGAATCGCTGGAGGACCTACGTACTATTTTCAATGACCTCAATCGTCTCTCCCAACGGATAGGTCTTAAGATGAACATGGACAAAACAAAAGTCATGTGTAATGTCCATGTCACACCCATGCCGGTGGTTTTTGGGAGCACTTAGCTGAAGTTGTTGACGAGTATTTTTACTTGGGACAAATAGCCCGACTAGGTAAGTTCAACTTCGACCCACAGGTCAATCGACGAATTCAAATCGGCTGGGCAGCGTTCAGGAGATTACAACACATCTTCTCGTCAGGAATACCTCAAAACTAGATTGTACAACCAGTACGTGTTGCCAGTGATGACCTATGGATCTGAGACGAGGCCTTTCATTGCTGGCTGTATGAGGAAGCTCGAAGTCGCTCAGCGAGCTATGAAATGGGCTATGCTCAGGGGTTCAAACTTAGGAATGAGGATATCTGCAGCAGAACCAGAGTGACCGACATCGCCCAATTGATTAGTAAGCTGAAATGGCAATTGACCGGCCATATCGCTCGAAGAACCGAATAACGATGGGGAAAAAATGTTCTCGATTGGCAGCCTCGTACCGGCAGGTGAAGTGTAGGACGTTCCCCCACTAGATGGAGTCAAGACTCGTAAGGCATGCAGGAAGTTGATGGATGCAGGTAGCTCAGGACGGTGCTTTGTGGCATTCCTTGGGGGAGGCCTTGCCAGTGGACTTGTGAAGGGTTTTAATGATGATGAATAATAATGGCATTATATTAATATGATATATTAATAGAATGGACGTTACGGGTAGAGTCCATCTATCCATAGAGTCCATTCTATTTATTTAGGTATAGGTAGGGTAGGGTATAGAATTTTTATAGATATAATTTGGTACATTGTCTTATCCCTATTATTAGTTCTGTGGACGTGCACTTCTGCTGTCAGCGCCAAAATGGCGGAAATCAAATCGCTTCAGCATGTCACGGTGTATAGCCAGTCCAGCGTACTTGTATATATAGAGGTCAGTGGTATAGTATAATCCTTGGCACAAAATACAGACTATAAAAAAAATACTTTATAATAAGAGTACTAACGTTCATTTGTATCGCAGTCAAAGAAACCTATAGACAAATTGACGCCTTCTTTTGCATTCACACACGAAAAAGATAGATTCATGCATACGTCTTGCATAGAAATGAGACAGAGCGGTGTGATTGTTTATCCCTTTCTCCGTGCCGGGTTTTTTTGACAGTTCGTAGCGATCTAAGGAGTTTACAAGTTGTTTTAAGGGAGAAAAAAGTGTTTTGTGAGCTTAAGATTGGTGAATCTTGTTCAGTTCAGTTCTTAAACCACTATTACACTACCCTGAATCAGGGTCACTATGTCCTTAATCAGGGTGGTGTAATAAGACAACGGGAGTAACGGTCCCTAATTAGGGCGTCAAAAGGGACCCTGTCTGCAGTGCCCTTGCCACAGTGCAGTGTAATAACACTTAGGGCAGTTAGGGCACTTATTCGATATGCGACTAGGGATGTAAGCAATACATCGATTCTTTCAAACATTGGTATATCGTTCATAAACATGGTTCTTCATGAGCTATGTTTTACTTTTATGAAAAATGCTTCAACTTGCCGTCAAAGGTTATGAAATAATCAACTATTCGAAGATAATAAAATTCCGTGTGTTAAAAGTTGTGAACGGTGATTATCACGAATTTGATGTCGTCTAAAAAATATATCAAAGTTAGATAACTTCTAAATTTTTAAAGTTAGAAGATATTAAGCAGAAATAATTCAATCCCGAAAATTTTAATTACAAATCAACAAACAGGTGAATGGTCTTTCAGCCGAAAATAAATATACTTGAACTTCAGGACTCCGAACTCCAAGAATTCGCATACTTGAGTGATTATTCCTAAGCTTTAAATATTCTTTCACCCATATCTTTCTTATCCTCCGCTTTTCTTATTATTGATTGTTGTAGCAATGACAGCCATAGCAATAGCGACTTTTTTTGTTTTGATAATATAGGTGGCATCGTGGATCAAGTATATATATATATATATATATATATATATATATATATATATATATATATATATATATATATATATATATATATATAGGGCAGGTGACTTGACGTTCAGCCGCTACAAGATTCCCTCTCAGATTGAGTTAAAGTTGGCTGGCTTGGGTAAATTATATCGATATTTATTTCAGAGTATTCATTCGTATCAATTTCGATATATTTTAAAATTTTATATTTATTTTATAATTTAATAAGACACAACATTGAATAACAAAATCAATCAATCATGTGCTGTCAAACGTCCATAAATAAAATTTTAGCTTTTAGCCTACTACATCATGCAAAACGTGATGTATCTATATTTATCACGCGATATATTATATTGATATTGTTTAAAAATATCGATATATTTTTCTCACTTGCCTGTCCCTATGACTGAGTTAGGGCGTAAAATCAGTGTAGTGTAATAACTGACCACCCTAAGTAGGGGCCATGCCCACCCTTCATTCAGGACCCTGATTCAGTGTAGTGTAATAATATTTTGTATATTTGTAATAACATTAGAACAATTAATTTTTTTATCTAATTGTGATCAAAAGTCATAAAGATTATTGTATAACCTAAAATTACGTTATCGTCCTTTCTCACTCGAGGCCACACTAATCATTAGTCTATAGGTTTTTCTGTCTACGTTTTGTATAATATATTACTCTCATGGAGATTAGAGAACAGGAGAACTATCGCTAGATGCTAAATAATAGCCCGTCTGTCCCTAAAAAGTTGTAGAATATATAGCCATGCTGCCGTCGGTAAGTACCTAGTTTCTACGAAGTAATTTTTTAATTATTGAGAAAAAGAAACATTATAAAATGGTGAAATATTATTAAAAAAATAAATAAATCAATAATCAATAATAATTTATATTTGTAATAATTTATAATATTTATAATAATTAAAATTGTGGCAGTAGAAGGAAAAGGAAAAGCAAGGTGCTCTTCCCGGGGAGTAACCAATACTCCGTGTGATAGTTCGCAGCTATTCTATATATACTGTTTTTAATTCCGAACTTTGATTGCGTGATTTAAGCTTCGATGTGTTTCGCTTATGGCGCGACGACAGCGTCGCCACAGAATTAAAAAAAAATATAATTTATTTAAATTATACATTATATTTTTATAAATTAAATAATAATGATAATAATAGTGATGATGATAATAATAAAAGTAGTAATATTTTCGTTATTTTTCTTTGAATGATATTATAATCATTTCAAACTAGCACACAACAACCCGATTTTATTGAGACAACTTAGCAAGCGCAGCGTCTCACTTATTTTGTCAATACTTCTGGGACACTATTTTCTACAGCGATCGTTCTCCTGTTCTCTAACCTCCATCATTACTCTATTTAGTGGTTGCGTTGCATGTCGCATCATCCGATCCGATTCATAACGAATTACGTCGTTAACACCCTTATGCCCTGAACATAAAGCTCTTTCCGATAGATGTAGTATCAAAGATATTTACACGAACACATTTTACCTACTCTATTATAATACAAACTAATTGATCATAGACAAGATAAGTTACTACACGCGCATCAAACTGAAATTCTCCCTCATCCCGAGGTAGGTACCGTCCCGTCAAGCGTGGCTAATCAAGGCACCAAAAGGTGAGGTTTCTAATCGTTAAATTATGATTAAGTGTCGTGTATTACATATTTATTATTTTAAAGTGTGGTACAGTGATTAATGCTCGTTGTCAAAGTGTGTTAAAGTTGAAATATTCATATGAAAACATAGGAACGCGATGAAATTAGTGCATCAATGTTGATTGAATGCGTTGAATTTTCTAAATTTAAAACTATCCGTAAAATATCATAAAATATACTAAATCTTTGCGTGTTGTGCTTATTGAGAGTGTTCTTGTAGGAAAATGAGCAGCTCGGAGGAGGTATCATGGATTTCATGGTTCTGCGGGCTGCGAGGTAACGAGTTCTTTTGCGAGGTGAGTATCTAGATTTTTATTTGTCTTTCGTTGTCGTAGCCGTTAATATTTATTGAATCTGTCAATTTTTAGGTGGATGAAGATTATATAAATGATAAATTTAACTTAACGGGGCTCAATGAACAAGTACCACACTACAGACAGGCCCTGGACATGATTCTAGATTTAGAGCCTGGTGAGTATACACCATAGAGAATTTTATCATTGAGAAATTTTGTTCATTAGGTAATGTTTGTGTTATCCAATTGAAAGCAATTTCCAAATAAATATTTTATTTCGAAACAATTGCTAATCACATTCGGTTAAACATGTTTATAAAATATTTTTAGCAATTGTATATTATGCCACTAGTGGTATCTTATCTATCACATTAGGTTGTGGCATAATGTTTGGTGACAGAGTAGCGTAGCTGTTTATAATTGCAATATTGGTACTATATATAGTAAGTTTCACTGTAAAGCTACAAGCTAAAGCTATTTGTAGTGGCAGCATAAAAGAATCCTGAAATTTATTATATAATTCTGTGGGTGTCGTATGGACAGAAATTAAACAAGAGATGGGCTGTAGCATCTTCCTATTTATTTTTTATTTTATATCATTGGGTGACAAATGAGCACACACTCCACCTGATGGTAAGTGGATGCTGTGGCCACATCCACATTTATTTATCCTCAATTAAGAATCAAAATGCAAGCATTGTCACCCCTGAAGACTAAGATGGAATGCTTCGATTTCAGTAAAAAGGGTCTCTGGTTCTCTACACTCACCATACGAAACAGTAGCGTTACGCTGCTATTTTATGCTGGTTTTCTGGGAGAGCATAGTCCTGAACCAATCGAGCGGACTCATTCATGCTTCAACTATAATATAGCTGCAGTGTGGCTCTACTATGTAAAAAAACCTGATAACTAATTAAAATAATAAACTGCAGTTACCAATCTGCAGTTGGCAAACATCCCCCTATAAGGCAGTCTGTGGGGGCCTTTTTAAGCAGTGAAATTTTGATAGGCTATAATGAATAAATTAATGATCCGTTACTGTGACAGTCTACAAATATCCACTGCTGGACATAAGCCAGCCATAGTTCCTCGCTTGGCAAGCATGTTCGCAACTGCAGTTTCTTACTTTGTCATTTTTAGGAAGGCACTGCTGTCCGTCTCCTGATTAGTTTCCTTTTATTGTGTCTTATGATACCCGCGGGATGATGTGATGTCTGTACAGTAGTGAATATTCTTACACCACCACTACATGGCAAATAATGAATGAATGATCACTAAACTAAAAATATATGTCATTGGAACAGAAAATCAAAACAAAAATAAATTGGATAATTTTTATTATAAGAAGTATACTTTCTTTTAGAATTTGCAGACATATCAATTAGTGTAGCTGCACTATTTTTCCTAAATTTGGTAAACAAATACCTTACATTTACTATTTAAGCTATTATTACTAGAACTGCGCCTATTAACAGAACCTCAACCATACATATTTAATAACTGTCCATGATGTATATTGAAATATTCAGTTGTGGTTTTATACAATGTCTTTTGCAGATGATGACCTCGATGATAATCCAAACCAATCCGATTTAGTTGAGCAAGCATCTGAGATACTCTATGGGTTGATACATGCTCGCTATATATTAACAAATAGGTATGTCTTGTTTTCGTACTATTTTTATTTATTGACGTGTTCATCTATTGTAGCAGTGCAAAAGAATACATTTTTGTATTTCATAAAGTTAACACAAGCAAGTACACCATATGAAACCGATCAGCATTAAATTCTAATTTTACACTGGTATTCTTTGAGAGCATTGTCCTATCCCAGTCGAAATCTGTTCTACTACCATGATATAGCTGTAGCATGACTACCACTTAGCATTGTGTAAACCTTATATCCAATAATAAACAAAACTGAAGAAAATAATTAAAAAAATAAAAATTTCTTACAAAATTACACAAAGATTTTTGAAGTCTCTATGGACATTGTCATTTATGTTGGTTGCATTGACTATAATTCACGATATTAAGAATGGGAACTTTTTCTCGCTATACCAATTAAGCTCATAGTGCACCTTACTGATTTATGGACAAGGTTCTGGCTACTAATTGATCAGAGATTGTACTGTTACTTTGACTGCCTTGTTGGTCTAGTGGTCGTAAACAAGAAAGCTAATCGTGAGATCCTGGGTATAAATCCTGGATCCAACCAACATCAGTTATTGGGTGTTTCAGTCAAGTATTTCTCAGTAGCAGCCCAGAGTCAAGAAGTTGGCAGTATTTTCACCCTCCATGCCTTGAAAAGCAGGGAAAGCCTTAGGTCTTACCAGTCATGTCGGAATACCATCCCATTAGATTAGATGAGAGTGAGGGAATAGAGAAAAATTCTGTGCTTGCGCATACACTTGGGCACTATAATCCTGTTGTGTGCAAATGGCTAGTCTCCGTTGAGACTGGCTGACGTGATCGAAATTTGATCTGGAAGACAATTATACTGTTAATGGGGAACAGTATTAGCAGTGCAATAGTATTGCTTTTTCTCCACCAACCCAGCTGCTCATTGTGGTGAGTGTGGGAAATGAAAATGTAAGCTGATGGTGTGTTCTTGGAAAGCCTATTGGACTTTGAGTGTTGATGTATGTGATGTTTAATGGATATGTAGCTTTCCTAATTACTAAATATGTGTCAATCATGAATAATTCAGTTATTTGACCTGATCAGTAATGATGATTACAAACAATTTTTCACTCGGTTCTTATTGATAATAGAACCTTTTTAACCTGTGACCTGTAATTGACTGCCCTGTGTCTTGCAAAAGTTGTGAATTTATGTGTGCGAAAAGGCTTTTTTCTGCTTATTATTGTAAATAAATGTTATAGTTGCTTCAACCAATCTATGCAAATAAAAAGTTTGACATATAAAAAAAAACTTTTAAACTATATCATGAAAACTTCTTGCAACAACTGCTGGTCTTAATGGAAAATACACGACCTTTCGTAGAATTTCTATATGAGATACAAGTAAAACTTTTTTTATAACTGTACTTTTAAATATTAATCGTGATATAGTTAAAAGTTAGAACACTGCAATAAATATATAAACATTAAAATGAAGTATTAGTTTGTTTTCATTCAACATTGAATGACCTGCACTTGCAATTGACAGCCAAAAGAACAGAGTGGGTCACAGATAAGAGTTCTGAAACTTGAAATGATTCATTTGAATAATCACTTCAAATTATTCACTTCATATCACCAATTATTGTGTGAATAATCGAGTCACTAGAAATTAATGATTGACAAATATCTAATCATAACCACAGGCCATTAACCTAGGGTTGATATATTTGGGGTGGTAAGTTTAGGAGGTGGAATAATTGATCAAATAGTATATCATTTAAGCAATGGTGAACGACAACATACTTATGTACAAAAGTTACACCATTTAATTATTTTTTTATCATTATAAGAGCTGTGATAGCTCAAATGGTTAGCGCTCATCATAAATTTCATAGTAAGCGAGTAAACTGTGTTTGATCCCTGCCGGCACCAATGATATTGTCAATGCAATTTTAAATGCTGATTTACTGTATGCTCTGTGATGAAGGGAAATTTCGAAGTTTCTCAATATGCTCTAGAGTAGTGTGCAAATCTTTCCCTGCTTTATTAAATTCTTAATTAAGAGTCCTTATCCTGTAGGACTTTTAGACATCAGTAAACATATTTTATTATGATATTTATATGTACAGAGGCATTGGGCAAATGCTAGAGAAATTTCAAGCAGGAGATTTTGGTCACTGTCCAAGAGTCTACTGTGAATGTCAACCAATGCTCCCACTCGGTAAGCTGTTTTAATATATATATTTATCTTTACAGTGACATTACTCATGTTTGCTGTTTTGTAGTTGAATCTCAATTAATTTTATTTGGTGTATTGTGTATGTGTATTAATGTAATTTTTTTTCGTAACCTTCACTCTTTTGATATCCAAACGAATTTATTTTAAACAGATAGTTTTTATAATGAAGAATATGCCTTGGTAGGTTTACCTACTTATTTATGTTCATGGCTACCTGGCAAGCAGGTATGAACAGATAAGTTAATATAGGTAACTACACCGTTAACCAATAAAAATTGGTATCAGAAGTAAGATAATTCACATTCAGTGCCACCGACTCGCCTGGAGAGTTCACGTAAATCTTATTCCAGTGCCGACGACTCGTCTGGCGAGTTCAGTGTTTTTCACTAATATTTCCAAAATGCATCCGTATTTTCTGCTTAAAATTATAGTTTAGACTAAATATATGCTAAACTAAAGATTTACGTGGTGGGCCGGGTGTGGAGACCCCGTTTAAATTTGAAAGGAAACAAACTATTCTGCAATGCCTTGAACTCGCTAGGCGAGTTCCCTGACATAGATCCTCAACCTTTGACATGTTAGACAACGACGTGAACATAGTAGCATGGACTACTAATAGCAATAGGACTAGCAATGGAACTAATATACAACAAACTAGTTTCATTAGAATAATTAGGATCGTGCCAAATGGAAGTCCGTAGTCTCTGCCTACCTCTCTGGGTGACAGGCGTGAGTGTTTATGTGTTATCTTATCGAAAGTCACTCTTGTTTAATTACGTATTGATATACCACCAGTTTGAAATAAAGCCTCTGTCCTAGGAAGAACTATCAAGACATTATTTTTTTTTAAAACAAGCTTTAGAAATACAAAGTTATCGTAATATTTGAGATAACATATCTAGCAACCATATTATAAATCTTTTATCTTTGTAATAGGGTTGAAAATAAATAAAAAAGGGTCGGCATTGATAAAACAGCCGACAAAAAACACCGGCGCGCCGTTGTATTTGAAGAACAAAAGCACTGATAACATTGGTTTTTACAAAGCTCTCATTGGCTAATGTTAAATCGCACTCCAAGAATGCACTTGCAACTAAATATTTCGTCAATTGTATTCCTATTTGTGACGTCGTTGCCTACTCTAGTAAACTTCTGTAAACTTTGTTTTCAATATCAGTGCTTTGTACGACCCTTTCGTCATCGCATGCGTTTATCTGTTCTCTACCTTTGTGACCTGGCTTACGTTTACTGGTCTCCCGTGTTTTGATTACCTTGGCTTGCGATTACTGGACTTGTTTGAGTGCTGTTTCGACTATACCTTTACTTACGATTACCGGACCTGTTTGAGTACTGAACTGACATAATATTTGCGTTTCGTTATATATAATATAATTAATCAAAATTAAGTACCGGATGTCTAGCCAACTCGATATAACCTCAAAACTTTAACTATCGATATCTCGAAAAATAAAGATTTCCGGCATAAAAAGCAGCTAAATGGTAATCAATAGCATCATTGCCTGTCAACTAAAGCTAAAATAGTCACTTAAATCGTGCAGCAGATTACTAAAGCCGACCCAAAATAATACATTTAAATCTGATACCATATTCTTAAAATTTAAAGCCCGTATTAAATTATTTCAGGGTAAAATTGTCTATTAATTTAAAAGGTTGACAACCACTGCTCAAATTACGAAACAAACTTACCTTTTATTTTATCCAAAGAGTTTTTTGCCGTTTTAACAAGCCGAATGGTCCGGAAACACTTTTTAATTGCGTAAACACGTTAAGTACACTGTGACGGCCACAAAAATTACAAAACATAGAATTTACCCTTACGTAGTGCCAGTGAACTCGCGTGGCGAATCGATCAATTTATATTGCAGTGCCGGCGACTCGCCTGGCGAGTCAACCGTAAAATGTAGGCGGAATCCGAGAAGACATCATGAAAATCGTAGGGGTGATGAATGTGTTAATTATGAAAATCGTATAGGCTTGTCTGCAAAGTTTTGTTTGTGTTTAAGTTTAAAATCAAAGCAATTAAATATGAAAGAGAGGCAGTAAAATGTCCAAAGTCAGTGTGATAGAACAGGACACAACATAGCAGATGTGCGTGACATGCCTGTTGAATGCATACATATGTATGTAATTACTCTATGGTTGAATATGACCCAGTGCACATGCTTTTTTACATGCGACTGATAGCCAAAAAAATTGATTAAAATTAATTATATTAATAATAGCCATGAACACTTCAAAAGGCAAGTTATCATAGACATGTTTATAAAATCAATTAAGTTTCATAAAAACTTAGATCTGGTTATCAAACAAGTTAAGGTCAATTTCCCACGGTCTTCTTTTTTATAGAATAAGGGTGACAAAGGAGCACAGAGTTCACCTGATGGTAGATGGATGCTGTGGCCCAAACATATCTACATTTATCCTTGATTAAAAATCGAAAAGCAGATGCATTGGCACCTCTGAGGACTAAGATAGAATGCCTCGTTTCCAGTAAAAAAGGGTCTCCTGATCTCTACATTCACCATACAAAGAAACACTGCAGTATTAAGCTGCTATTTTTCTATTCTTGTATTCTTTGAGTGTGGTCCTTCCCTCAGTTGAGCCAACCCATTCATGCTACAATCATAATATAGCTGCAAATTGGCTCCACCATAACAAAATATAACCAGTCTCTTAGACTATAAGAAATTACTTATTTATTACATTTATTCCCAGGACTATCAGATGTTCCTGGTGAAGCTATGGTAAAACTCTATTGTCCTCGATGTATGGACGTGTACACGCCGAAATCTTCACGACACCATCACACCGACGGCGCATACTTTGGAACTGGATTTCCACACATGGTTTTCATGGTGCATCCTGAGTACCGACCAAATCGCCCTGCCTCACAATTTGTACCTAGGTGAGTCTTCTACTTCTAATTATGCTAATTGAAGGGTTTAATTAGCCCTTTAATTAGCTTTAAACCCAAGGAAATTAAAAAAAAGGCAAGTTTCCTGGTTATATTGACTGTGAATAAAATATTCAAAAGCTATCCCGAAAAAGATGGTTAAGTTGTAAGACATGTCATATTTTTAACTAATACCAAATGTAACACTTGAGTTTATTAGTTATACAAAAATTAAATTACAAGTTCATTTTTGCTGATTGTTTTGTGTATGGTATTTCAAAATGTATAGTATAACCGAGAACATTCCTAACATAGAACATAGTATATAAAACTTTGCACATTAATAAAAGTCAGAATATTTTCTGTGCTTGTTTTCAACATTGTTACCTGTAACACATGTTAACTACTGTGTGATGTCACCATGTGGTAAAATGGCATCCTTATCCGATTAAGTCCTTATGGTAAAAGTCAACTAAGGGGAACAAGCTACACCTGAAATACCGAAAATATTCTATTGGATATTAGAAAATATGTCTAAAATGTTAACACAAATATCCATTTACAAAGGGGGAAAGTGTAAAATCTCAACTTGAGTAAAACATGTTAACTTAAAATTTGTTTAAGATCTGTTAGTAATTGCTGCATGATAATAATGTCCTCCAGACCGAATTTCGGCCACGGCGGCCTGCCTCAGCGGAGGCTAGCCATCGGCGCAGGACAGGATTATAGTGCCCAAGTGTATGCGCAAGCACCAGTGCACTCTCTATTCCCTCACTCTCATAATCCTATGGGACGGTAAACTGACACGACCGGAGAGAGATCAGGCGCTGTACCAACGGCTTTACGTGCTTTCCGAGGCACGGGAGTGAGACACCGTCAACTTCCTGACTCCGGGCAACTACTGAGAATTTCTTGACAGAAAAACTCAATAATTAGTTGTTTTTTTATGGCCCGGCCCGGGATTTGAACCCAGGACCTCATGATCAGCAGTCGTACTACTTGTACAACCACTAGACCAATGAAGCAGTCATTATTGTGTTATAATAGCCTAAACCATGTAGTTAAAGTATAGTCTGAGCACTGAATTAAAATCAAATATGTAAGATACTTTGTTTTCCTTTAGATTGTATGGGTTCAAGATCCACCCACTCGCTTACCAGATTCAACAACAGGCAGCTGGTAACTTCAAGCCACCGCTTCGGAATCTCGCGTATAACAACGGTAAACGCTAGGGCCGCGCCTGTGCGCGAGACCACGCGCCTACAACTGCATATTGATACAGATGCTCCCCAAAAAAATCATTCTAATAAAACAGACAGACTTGACATGGCCAAGGTTTGTTATCAAACATTAAATGGTGGAAAAGTTGTAAAGGCAATATTTTCATTTCAAACATTCCATAGTTAAATAGAGACAATTATATGCAGAGATATTAACCTACAATACTATCATTCTACATGAGACATAGTCTGAAAAATTTTACATAAATATTAAAAAAAATGTGTCCATGCCTAAACCTTGGCTATGCAGATTGTTAATTATTAACCTTTGGAGCGCCACGCCAAAAACGTATTGCCGTGTCATGTACGCCAGCGAAAAGTAAGCAAAAAAATACCTACGAAAAAAATAGTGTTGCCAAGAGTTGATATATCGATAGCACAAAATAACTTGTTTTTGTTGGTTTTTTATGCAATGAATGACTATATTCTGGTATGTTTTATTTAATATTGTGCTGTCTTCCACTCTTTTTATATATGTACTTTGTACATAAATAAAAAAACAAACAATAACATAGTATAGTTCATAAAAGATAATGACGACCTAATTAGTGCATGCCCATAAAGTATGACATTGACAGGTACTGTCTGTACTACTAAGAAATTCAGGACTTCATAGGCGTGATTTTACTGACAGCTGTTGCAGAGATCAAGCTATCTTTTATGAACTACAGTAAACCACAGCACTACTCTCCATCGTTATGACGTCACTGTCACGACTGGACGACAACGGCGTAGCTGACCTTCCTTTTTGAAACTTTCTTTGAGATGTAGCACGTTGTGTATCGATTTCGAAATCGATCTAACCAAAATATACAGACATCGATTTAAAATATTTTATGTGTCGGGGGAGGCGTAGGCCAAGGCTCAGTCCCCTCCGTGAACATGGGTGCTGTAAAGCACCCGAAACGTCAGAATAATAACAATATTTTAAAGTATGAATTATACGCGATAAAATCCGTAAATAATTGTTTTATTCAATGAAAAGCCCTTCATACCTTAAGTAAAGAAAACACATTTATTATTTGTAATTTTATATTATTAAAATAAAAAAAATTATCATCATCGACGCTTTTCAAACTGCGAATGAGTTCTGAGGAATCGTTCATGTTCATGTTCACTGCACTACTTTTCTTGCTAATCACTTATGACGTCATCAGGGTGTCTGCTATCCTTGTCCTCGGCGCCCAGTGACTTGATTTTCGATGACGCGCTAAGGATGCGCCAGAGTTGAAATATTAGATATATTATGCGAAGATGATTTGATAACATATTTTTTATTAATGTAGTTTTATGTTTCTAACCTTTTGTTTTATTCAAATATCAATAATATTAGCAAAAAATAACATGTTTGAGCTGAATTTTGGATAGTTTTCAAGAAATCCATGCCTACCGCGTTCGACACTAGCAGTCAACCATAGACGACTTTGGTGTGTTGGACATAGTATTTATTTAGATAAAAATCCATTTATTTTAGTTCATTGTTTCTTAGTACTTGTGGCTCTAGAAGACTTGTTTTTTATACCCACATGTTGCTGGGTTATTCTTTTTTGAGAAGTGTAGAATTAAAATACCAGTAATGATTTTCCAATATATATATTTCATATTTTTGTGGGCCGGGTTTTTTGTCAACTATAGACGTCGTTGGCGCTCAGGGTCCGCAGGTGCTGGTCAAGTATAGGCGACTTTGGCGCTCAAAAGGTTAATACTTAATAAGACTGCCGCATAAATTCCATGTCTTTACACTCTTTATTCATAATGCTTTATGAAATTAAAGTTAATTAAATTATAGTGAGAATCTGTTTCTTCTCATACTCATTCTAATTTTCACACTAGTTTTGAATAACATTTAATTTTGCTTAATGTTTTAGAAGACAGGATAGGTTCTAAAGAAGCCCTTAAGTTGCCATCATGCCTGTACGGAGGATCTGTATCAATTATTATTAAGAGCATAATTCTGTAATAATATGGTGGTGAGATAACACCCATTGAAAAGGACAAGAAACATAAGTGATATTTGTCACATTGTGATGTAAAAAGGTCCTCTACCATGAGAATGGCCTGAACATTTTTTTTTATAATCTTATAAAGTAGTAAAAATAGCCAAGTATTTTTAGTTATTAGTCATATTGCTACACCTTGTATAGTAAGTAGTCATGCAAACATTGCTGTCGAAGATACCTTCACCTGATATTTCAATCAACTTATGTTATAATGAATTTACACTTTTATATTGTCACAGCTTCATACATGTGTTCAAAATAATTCCACCTTACATAGAAAACATTTCAAAACCATGGTGTTCTTGTTTAAATACTGTTAAATAGGACAATGGCAACATCTAATAGCCATTATATTTGTAGTTTATATATTTATAAAATTGAAACTAAGGTAGGGTCTTGTAAGTTTTTATTTTTATATCCGATAACCATTTAGGATATGAATAGTCGTTTAACATTGCGCGTTTGTGTCTTGACGACTTTTTTCGTAATTGTATCGGTTCCAGTAATTTTAAATAAATTTTATGACAACTATTGGCCTTTTTCTTGCTTATCCTGCATGTTAACCACTTCACTTATAACACCATGATATTGTAATACTGTAGTATTATTTTATATAAAATATACAAGCCGCACATGAGCTCAAGTGTGTATATATATATATAATTTTTATTGGCTTGTTGGTTATTTGCAAAAGTTAGATGTTATGCTATATAATATTTGCATTAAAGCTGAAATAAATACAAAATATTTTTACCAATATTTACTTTCTTAAAAACAGTGCAAAAATACAAAATTATTTTCTGACAAATTATACAATTTGTATGTAAATATAATTTAAAAAAAAAAGATAATCAATTAAAAGCAGTACTTACAACAGCATTTCACATACTATAAAATAAAAGATTAAGAACTAACATTTTAATTAAGGAATGTTTGTTTGTCGCAGAGACGAAGACCTCAAGTAACATTCCAAAATGATCATATGTCAGCGGTGCGCCACGATCAGGGCCACAGAGCCGAGCGCCCCGCGGCATGGGGGCTCGCCTCCTGCAAGCTACTCTACTGACCAGTAACTTTAACTAATTATAATATTTATTGATACAACTACATATATACTTTACTCCTTATTTAACTTGACAGTTGTGTTTTCAATACCAATAAAGTTTATTTCTATGTTTACTGTATTTGTATATTTTTATTAATTAACACCTACATTCTGTAATACACAATATAGTGTTGGATCATGTCTGCAATTTCTCATATTTAAGTAACAAGATATCTACATAGCTCTCTTACTAATTCTGCATTATTTATCTCATCAAACATGCTGTTGCCCAGCACAGTAACATTCTTTTTAATGAATTTGAGAGCACTAAACTTAAGTGAGTCCGAGTTGTACATATCAGCTAATACAAGTATTTCTAAAACATTATCAGTAGATAGCTGGAGGGAAAGTTCATACTGAGCAAGATCTTTTAAGCCTTTCAAGTCATATTTATCAGCCAGTATAAGCAAATTAATACAGTTACTATCTTCCAATTCTTTCACAGTTCCTGTATACATAAATTCTATTAAACATTGTAGATCTTCCTTACAAACATCAATTAATTTTACATAATTATTCTGACTTTCAGCAGTTTCATCCTTTAGCATAGCCTTGAATACTTCACTTTGGCAAGCTAAAATAACTTTATGGACTTGAAACTTATCTCCGTCAGAAGATTCTATTGTAAAGTCTGCATCTATTGGATCTATTAACAAAGCATCAAAATCGTGACGGCATTTAATAGAATCAATAAAATCTTGATCTAAATCTGACTTTAGGGGACTGTGAAATGATACTGCTATATAAAGCTTCTTATCTTTGAGCAAATCAACATCAAGATCAGTAAAGTTATAAGTTGTTACATAATTGAATGCCAGATTACTTTCTTTTTTTAATTGATAATCTTTAAGGGTTGTGTCAAGGTATACAATGTCACTTTTCCTCTTAAATGTTAACTCACTGGAACCACTTACTGCAACATTGAATAACCCCTCTTGACGACTGCAAATGAATAGTTCTAAAAGGAATATATTCTCTACTTGTTTAGTGATATACATAAACCAATAATCTGCAACATCTTCAATGTTTGTGCCACCAATGTCGTAGGCGTTAGGTCGATGAAACTTTTGATAGATATCTTCGAGGCACATCCACTTAGCATCGCCAGTTTGACAAGGGTTGTGACCGAATATTAAACCATTATCCTCCTGTTCATAAAACAAAAATGATACTGAGTAAAAGAATTTCCAAAACAAATAGGAATGAATAAAGTTTGACATTTTAAGTACCTTTAAGTTTTTATTTTCGTTGCTCATTTTAATAAATTCCTCAACCAAGAAAGTAAAAGGTATATTAAAGTAGTCAAGAAAGTAATAGTTATGATAACAAAATATAATTACACTTATCTATGAATATAATGCAACTCTTAAACCTTAGGGTAAAAAAAAGTCTGGCCTCTCTAGTACATAGTCAGTAATCTATGGTCTGGCCGCTCAAAGATACAGAATGCGATCCTGACAGCTGACACCTGTCTTTTTGGGAAGACTAGTTATGAGAAAAAAATAACGTTATCTATGGGTGCGTTTGGCAGAAAAAAGCGCTAGCAAGGCACTGTGGGATTGACTGATTTTGCTTATATAATTTGTTTGTTTTGAAGTAGAGTTTATTAGTTGTTTTTTGCAATATTAGTTTTAAGTAATATAATGACATGAATAGACATATACATGTTATTAATATGATTGGTGTTTAATATGAATATTTACAAAAATTTTTTGGTTGCTTTCTCGTGTTGAGGAGTAGATTGAAGCGCTACGTTACGATCGCCATTTTGCTTACAAGCGCTTGCTAGCGCTTTTTTCTGCCAAACGCACCCTAATCGTAACGATATCGTTAACAACGATAAGATAACGACTACGTTAGTAACGTTGTTTTTTATTAACTTTTATCCGCAACTCGCGAAATAATATGTAAATGAGGCGTTTTAAAGACGGACATATAAAAACGAAGCTGCTGTCAAAATATGTCACAGAGTAGGTACATTGGTAGAGGCCGTCTGTATGCAGCTCGCCACAACACTGCACCACCATTCGGCTCAAAAAAGGTGATGGGCCTTTAGAAACAAGCCTGCGAAAAAGTCACAAGTGATGACTGGGCGAAGTTCGTCGAAAAATCTAAAAAATTTTGATTTGAGGATTTTGAGAGAAAAATAAGAATTGATATTCAGATTGATCATGACTTGATAATTCAGAATTGGAGAAGAAGATAGCGACGACAGTTCCTCAAGCGAATCTTGAAATATTGCAATTGCAATATTGCAATATTGAATTTGGCGAGACAAGCGAAGCTTCGGAGCGAAATAAAGTGAATCAGTGTGATTAATTATTAGTGTTTTAAGTTTTAATTGGTGTAAAGAAAATTAAAGTGTAAATTTTGGTAATTCAATCGGCAGTTTTTATTGTCACGAACCTTAAGCTCGTAACAGTAACATAGACCATATACATACCCTTTGGCAAATTGTACAGAAGTCCGAAGTACAAGCGCAATCTGCCACTTTACCTGGCATGTATGAGAACTATGAGACGGCCTTTGTTTCCGTGGAAATTTTGGCGGTACTACAGTCTCTTCAGCGGTGCCAAGTTGACTATTGGTATATTGAAGTGCTGAAATGTTTGTACAGTAGGGCTACGATGGATATCCGAGTACAGAACCAGAGTACAAAAACTATCCAACTGCAGAGAGGTATACGACAGGGTGACGTTATTTCCCCGAAAATCATCGCCTCTGCATTGTAAGACGTTTTCAAGCTACTGGAAAGGATACGGTATTACATTAATGGCGAGTACATCACTTACCTTCGATTTGCCGAAGTTATAGTCCTCATGGCAGAATCGCTGAAGGACTTAAGCACTATGCTCAACGACCTCAATGGTCCCAACGGATAGGTCTTAAGACGAACATGGACAAAACAAAGATCATGTTTAATGTCCATGGCAGACCTATGCCCGTAGTTGTTGGGAGCACTACGCTCGAAGTTGTTGACGAGTAAGTTTACCTGGGACAAATAGTCCGATTAGGTAAGTCCAACTTCGACCGAGAGGTCAATTGACAGATACAACTTGGTTGGGCAGCGTTCGGGAAATTACGACACATCTTCTCGTCAGGTATACCTCAAAACTTAAAAACAAAGTTCTATAACCAGTGCGTGTTGCCACTGATGACCTACAGTACCGAGACGTGGTACTTAACTGCTGGCCGTATGAGGACGCTCAAAGTCGCTCAGCGAGCTATGGAGAGGGCTATGCTCAGGATTTCTCTGCGTGATAAACATAGAAACGTGGATATCCGCAGTAGAACCAGAGTGACCGACATAGCCCAACGGATTAGTAAGCTCAAGTGGCAACGGGCCGGCCATATAGCTCAAAGAACTGACAACCGTTGGGGAAAAAAGGTTCTCGAGTGGCAGCCTCGTACCGGTAGGCGAAGTGTAGGGCGACCCCCCACTAGATAGAGTGACGACCTGATAAGACATGCAGGAAGTCGATGGATGCAGGTGGCTCAGGCCAGTGCTTTGAGGCATACCTTGGGGGAGGCCTATGTTCAGCAGTGGACTTGTGAAGGGCTGTAATGATGATGATGATGATACCGTTCTCTATGATGAGAACCTCGTGAAAGCCGAAACAGATATGCGAACCAAATATCTGGACCTGGCTTAAGAGTTGAAAGACCTGTGGGGTGGTCTGCCGGCCGAAATTATTCCTGTAGTCGTCTCTGCGAATAGGATAATCCCGGTCAGCCTCTCAGGTCATCTGAGGCGACTGGAACTCCGTGACGGACCGCTCCGGGCTCAAATGCAGAAGGCGGTGCTCTTCGATACCGCCCGCATCGTTCGTCTATTTCTTTCCCTTTCCTCCTAACCCTCGGCCGTTTGGTCTCCCCTGCCGAGGGCTTCCATCCAGTTTGACATTTATTTATTTATGTATTTTTTGTATTTATTTTATTTTATTGATATTTATGTATATTTATCTTTTCATTTTTATTTATAATTATATATTTATAGAACCCAACCAGATGAGAAAACTATATAGATACCCCAAATAATAATAATAAATCAATAATAATTTATAATATTTATAAAAATTAAAATTATTGAGACAAGTTAGCGATCGCCGCGCCTCACTTATTTTGCCCATATTTCTGGGAGATTATTTTGTACAGCGATCGTTCTCCTGTCTCCTGTTCTCTAACCACCATGTTCTGAGCATAGAAGTCCATAGTTCTGAGGCGCAAAAGTACTCACGTAGTTCCATAAATTACTGCATATACTACATATGATTATAGCGTAGTTCTGAGGATTGTTTTTATAATGATACTTATAAATACGAGTGAAAACCAGTGTTGTTATAATACATACTTCCATACTAATATTATAAATGCGAAAGTGTGTTTGTTTGTTTGTTTGTCCTTCTTTCACGTCGCAACAGAGCGTCGGCATGGCATGATTTTTTGTATGGGGATAGTGTGGGGTGGTTACTTTTTTGTAGGTGTATGGGGATGTGAGGTGAGGTTACTTTTTTCCTCGGAAAAACATCTCATTCGCAACAGAGCGTCGGCATGGCATGAATTTTGGTACGGGGGATAGTTCGGTGGTTGTAGAGTGACATAGGCGTATTTTTTCAGCGGAAAAACATATCATTCCCGTGGGAAAATCGAATATGTTGCAAAATTAAATTCAGCTAGGTGGCGCCACCGTGATATGATATGATTGTGACACCTGAGGGAGTTGATAGAGACACAGTGTTCAAAATTCATAGATTCTTGCATGAACGTAACATTTTAGTCAAAACATTTAAAACTGCTTTATAAAACCTACCTGAAGAGGATTATAAAGTCGTCATTCACACAGATCGGACCCCCCGAGAAGAGCATGAAAGGC